TCTCTATCCTTTCAAGGTATAAATTCCTATCTCGGCACTATTTCATTCCTTTTGATTTAGACAGTTTTCTTAGTCGAGTTATCTCCTCTATTAACCCCAAAAAAGAATGTGGAATTTAGGGTTGTTTTTATATTTTAATTTTTCTACGTGCTGTTGAAAAAAAGAAGATATTTTTTTTATTATCGTATATATATTATCTAGACCAGCTTGCACACACTAATTTTACAGTTATTGCGTAACTCTGTCAGGCTTGGACAAATGAAAAGAATCACGATCACCTAGTAAGAATTACCTACTCTTTTTGCATCCACCGGGATTTGGACCTAAGAACTCATGGTTCTCAATCCACTTCATTGACCATTAGAATACACCCTTGGCTGAGAATCAAAAAGAGTAATCTTGATTTGTGTTTCTTCGGTTTGCTGTATAAAGTCGGAATTAACGATTGCATGTGTAACAGAAAAGCATAGCTCAAAACAAAAATGCAGCAAAGGAAAATTGTTAAGAAGCAAGACTGAATTCGTCTTATATCTTCCATCCGTTTAAGAAAGCTAGGTGTGCTTTTTATGAGTCAGCTAACAACTAAGCAGCCAACGGTTAGTCTGTAGTTACTTTTCTTGTGCACTATCTGAAACTGCCAATTTTAATAAAATTTTATGAGAAATTGTGCTTTTGCAACACTAATTTGTTATCTTATGTTGATCAGCATCAAGTATACATATGATGGTTATTTTTCCAATTCAGCTATAGATTGAGATTGTTAGCCTGAGGGAAATGACAGGTTCACCTTAATTTTTCTGGATTTCTCAAGTCCACTCCGTATTAGCTTCTATTATTTCATGGCCTTGGTTTATTTGTTTTACTTTTGAATAAGATAAGTTTTTTTAAAGAGTTTGTCTGCCCAGCTGGTGATGTAATACTGTATACTTAACTTATGTATTTTCTCACTGGGCTCGTCTTTTAATTAGTTTCTTCGAAAGTCGATGCATTATTTGCCCCATAAATATATTCTTGGAAGACCATTATATATTGATCGACTTGCTCTTATTACCTTCTTGTCTTTCTATAGAATTCAATTTCCTGGAATTTTCTCCCCCTCCTTCCAATAGGAACTTGAACTATAAGTCAATGGCAGATCCTCCTTTTTTTTGGCTTCTCTTTTCACTGTCAAGAATTGTGCTATTTACTGGGTTCGTTAAGCTTCCCTTGGTTCCAAAGGGCCATCCATAATATTGATAACTCTATTATTATTGAGAATGGCATAACCACTGCAACTTTGTTATGCGAACTTATTCCCCCACAGAAGATTCTGAAGATTATTATAGGACACTTGTTGAAAACTTAATTGAACTGCTGTATCATTCATCTGCTATTGAGCTGAATTTTTCTGATTGTGTGGTCTAATTCTTTTGTTGCAATTACACTTCTACAGCACGCGTGAGATGGCAGGATTTCATAATCATCAGGGTTACCCTGCACAACATATTCCCATGGGTCCTATGCCTCCACCCATGCGTCATCCTGCCTTGTTAGAAAAAGAACTTGAAATGCAACATGTTGAAAATCGGAGACTGGCTGAAGATCGAATTGCTTTGCAACGTGAATTAGGTGCTGCTAGGGAGGAACTTCATCGCATGAATCTTATGATATCTGATATTCGAGTTCAGCATGAAATCCGCTGTAGGGAACTTACTGAAAGGGGTTTGAAGCTGGAAGCAGATCTCCGAGCTCTTGAACCACTGAAAATTGAGGTTAAAAACCTCCGTTCGCAAGTTACAAAGCTTTGTACCATTAAGCAGGATCTCTCTGGCCAGGTAGAGACACTCACGAAGGACCTCGTCAGGATGCAAGGTGAAAACAAACAGATTCCTTCTTTAAGGGTTGAAATGGATGGACTGCGTCAGGAGCTTTTGTGTGCTAGGTATATGCTATTATTGTGTCCTGCTGCTTCTGTAAGTATGATTAACATACAATGTGGCTATCAGGAGGTAATATTAAGTTTATCTTATGACTTTTAGGTCTGCTGCTGAGTATGAAAATAAGGCTAAAGTTGAACTGATGGATCAGATACAGACAAATAAAGAAGGTACGTTTTCAAAAAAATTCAATCGAAATCCTTTTGTTTGTCTCATTGTTTAGGTTCTGTTTGGATTATCTATTTGTATAAGTGTTAAGTCTTTTAACAATTTTGGATTTTCTATTCCTCAAAATGGTACTAAAACTCTTAAGTTCTTCACGGACTTCACCTCTTGACAATTTTCGCTTCCCGCCTCCTAATCCATTTTGCTGAGTGCAATCTTTGATGTTTCTATTGAAGGTCTTGAGAAATCCACAATCCAGCAAAGTGGTATAGTTCCATCCTGCGGGGGACTTGATGTAATTCAGCAGGTTCTATCTGCCTCAGCGAAGATAGCTGCATTTTGTTCTGAAATTTTACAGCAGCTTGACAGTGGCTTAGTTCAATGCCAAGCCTTGTTTTTGGCACCTACTCGTGAACGCGCACAACAGATTGAGAATGTCATGCGAGCACTTGGCGACCCCCTTGGGGTAAAGGTCCATGCTTGTGTAGGTGGTAATAGCATCCAGGAGGATAAGCATATCCTATCAGCTGGTGTTCATCTCGTTGTTGGTACACCTGGGTGTGTATTTGACATGTTGCGGAGGAAAAACCAATCTCTGCTTCTTGATCACATTAGAATGTTTGTGCTAGATGAAGCTGATGAAATACTTTCAAGGGGATTTAAAGACCAGGTAGTTCATCTTCTGCAATAGTATTTTACACTTTGATGACATATGCTTTCTGTTTAGGTCCGAGGGTGGCTGGGTATTTCCCAATTTCGGAGTATCTCTTTTGTTAATTCTCTTGAAATAACCAGTGTAGAAGATGTGAAATTAAACGTTGTCAGCATGTGCTTTTCCTCCTTCCTAAATCATTCTTGGGATTAGAAATAGAGGTTTCAATGGTATGCATAATGTTGGTGGCACAGGGTTTGTTTATCCTTTCTATTCAATTAGTTGCAAGCCATGCAGAAACGAGTTTAGTGCATTTTCTTGCTACTTCTCATGGAGTGGTATATACAGACTCAATCTTTCCCCTCCATTTCATTTTACCAGCACTTTGCAGATTCATAGTTTTGATTGTCTTCCATGTATCTTTATTGGCAGATTTATGACATTTTGCAGCTTTTACCTGCCAAAGTTCACGTAGTAGCATTTTATGCAACTATGCCAGCTGACGCCCTTGAAATCACAAGGAAGTTCATGAATAAGCCAGTGAAAGTGTTAGTCAAATTTGATGAACTGACTCTTGAGGGTATCAAACAATTTTATGTCAATGTTGTAAGGGAAGAACGAAAGCTTGATGCAATATATGATCTTTACGAGAGACTAAACATCACCAAAAGTGTTATTTTTGTTAACACCCGCCTAAAGGTCAATTGGCTAACAGATAAAATGCGAAGCCGTGGTCACACAGTCTCAGCCACTCATGGAAAAATGGACCAGAAAACTCGAGACATAATCATGCGTGAATTTTGCTCTGGTTCCTCCAGTATACTTATCACAACTGATTTGTCAGCTCGGGTTATTGATGTGAAACAGGTATGTATTGTGATAAATTATGATCTTCCAACTCAACTAGAGAATTATCTCCGTCGTATTGGAAGAAGTGGAGAATTTGAAAGTAAAGGATATGCTATCAACTTTGTAACAGCAGATGAGGAAAAAATGTTATCTGATATTCAAAGGTTCTACAATGTGGTCATCGACGAACTTCCATCAAATGTTGCTGATTTCTGAAAAGCTTTTTGTGTTAGTGATATAGGTAAGAATATAGATCTTATGGGAAGTTCTACTTCCTTAAAGATAGCTCCTAGTATCCTTTTCTGAGCGAACACGAACGAGGTGTTTGCATTTTTTTATGATGATGATGCAATTTTTGACTTGCCAGAAATCTCACATAGGAATCTCTCTCACCAATGTCACAGCTTATTTGATATTGGCATTTTTATTTTCCTTTTTGGGTACTAATAAAGCAATCATTAAATGGAAAAGTACTATCTGAACTGTGTATATACCAAAAGAGTAATTCCATGCCATATAATCTTAATGAGTAGTAAGTTATATCACTTTTGAGACATCACAACTGAAATATGCTAAAAAGCTTAAGGCTTTAACGATGACCGAGTTGGTGGTACATGGGTCTTGGAGAACGAAAGAAATTTGGGATGTTCACGCAAATAGCCGGTTGTATTCATTATTTACTTTTCTAGCCATATACCTAGATTATCCACCGATTAAACATATATATATACATATATAATACATAAATTATGCATATATTATACCTTCACCGACTATTTTTAGTTTAAGTGGTTGGGTGGGAGGCTATATGGGTTAATTCTTCAAGAAAAATTTCTTCTTTAAGGCCATTCTTTAAATTTTGTGTCCGTTAACCGACTTAGTTAAATATTGTCTTTAAACATAATTGAATAATTTTTTTTTCTTTTGGCAGACAAATTTAGTCCACTTCGTGATAGAATTTAAATAGTGACATAGAAGAGGCCATTAGTGCAAATGCCTCCAAATCTAGCAAGGCAAAGTTAAATGCAACATGCTCGTCAATTCTCCATATTTCTCCCATCCTTTAACATACCTTTCATGAAGTTCGGATAGTAACAAACACATTTTTTATAATTTCAAATATCACACAAGTATCAATTCTTTCATATTATTGAAAGAAAATTATGTTAGTAGTTACAAATAAACAAATTTACATGTTGACTTCTCTTTCAAAAGAAATTACAATCAATAACCTTGAAAATGAGCTGCATGAACCTATGGGATAAAAGTTAGTATTAAACTTGAAGTTTTTGTCAAATGTGCAAGACCATGGTCATTCTTGTAAATCACGCTCTCCTTTCCGTCAATAGGCCCAATTATTAAAATTATTTAATTTGATTTTCTCATAAATAAATTGTTCTTTCCTTATTTTTGCGGGATAGGACAAGGTAATTTACTTTTTTATTTGCCTTCAACTTTAGTTCTAAGGCATCCCCAAAAAGGCCCTAAAACTATTTTCTGCGACTTTGCAAGGCTGCGCAAACAATTCTCGAGCGGCGGAGACAGAGGCACCTCTATACCGGCTTGGACGAAATCAACTTTTTTATTTTTGTAAGCTCTAAAATTCAATCCCAGCTGTAATTTATTCCATTTGATTTGGAAATCTTTTAAATTTTGGCACTGTTCACTTCAGGAATCCATTCAGATTATTATGAATGCAGATTTTAGGGTTTTCATGTTATACTTTTGTCCTTTTTATAACGTTGATTTGGACTATCAACGAGGAGTCTTGTTCTTTATTTATTTATTTATTTTGAATTTTTTGTTGTTATATATACTGAGAATTAACGGATCAATCGTGATTGATGTAGTATTATGGGATTCGTGATTATTTTTTTGTTTTTTCCCCTTTTTATTCTGTGTTAAACTTTATTTTTTGTGAATGTTCATGCTAGATTATATGTATTACCAGTGTATATGCACTTTATATAGTTTAAAGCACGTTGTTTACAGGCTAATTGACAGTCTGTTATGTAACTAATTCTGTTATTTTGAGGCATTTTTATTCTGCAATTAATTAATGCTATTTTTATATGCTTTCCAAAATTAAATGCCGACTTGTTTGTTTCTTGTGCAAACTGATTCCCTTATTAATGGAAAGGAATATTTGGGATCTTTTATCTATACGAGCGGAGTTGCTAACTACAGCTAGACAGTTTACTGCTGCATTTCAGTTTGCTAGTTGCTTTTAGCTCCCCATTTATTACTACTTACATTAGCCGACTATTTATTAACCCTCTTACACATGAAGGCCGCCTTTTTTTGTCATCCTGTATTGTCTAGATCTGTAACGCTCCTGATGACACACCTCTAAAGAAAAAAATTAAGATTTGAGTGATTTTGTCTTATATCTTTAATTTCTGTTGGATAACTAAGGATGCTTGTTAAGAATTTGCTCACATAGAAGCACCCAACGATTTGTTGTCTAGTGTTAGTTGTGTTGTGCACTATCTGACTCTGCCAACTAAATAAACTTTTATTTGCGTGTTACTGATGAGAATATTGTGCCTTGCGGCCGTAGCTTGTTTTCACCCGACATTGCTTAAGACTTGGTTGAATTGCCATATCATTACTTGTTTTGAGCGGTTTGTTTCTTATTGTTGTGGTCTAATTCTTTTTGCTGTACTCACTCTTTTACAGCACTCTGTGAGATGGCAGGAAGGAATCGCATTCCTCGGGAAGCATTTGATAACCGCCGGGGCTATCCCGCAGAAGGACATATTACTCGGGGTCCCATGCCCCGGCCCATGCCTCATCCTGCTTTGTTAGAGGAAGAACTTGAAATACAACATGTTGAAATACGCAGACTTTTGGGTGAAAACCGGAGACTGGTTGAAGATCGAATTGCTCTTCAACGTGAATTGGGTGCTGCAAAGGAGGAACTTCATCGCATGAATCTTGCAATAGGTGATATTCAGGCGGAGCATGAAATGCGCTCTAGGGAACTGATCGAAAGGGGTTTAAAGCTGGAAGGTGATCTTAGAGCTACTGAACCTCTGAAAAATGAGGCTAAACAACTCCATACTGAAGTTCAGAGGCTTAATACTATTAAGCAGGATCTCTCTGGCCAGGTGCAGACCCTCACCAAAGACCTCGCCAAGCTACAAGCTGATAGCCAACAGATTCCCCTTTTAAGGGCTGAGATTGATGGTCTGCATCAGGAACTTTTACGCGCAAGGTATCTGCTCTTACTTTGTTTCTTTCTGTGTCTGGAGATATGATTAACATGGAATGCTGTTACTTCAAAAACCTGCTTGGTGGCCATCAGGTGTTGAAACCCTTTTATTAATTTGATCGTGACTTCTAGGTCTGCTACTGACTATGAAAAGAAGGCTAAAATTGAACTCATGGATCAGAGACAGGCAATGGAGACAAATTTAGTTTCAATGGCACGCGAAGTTGAGAAGCTACGTGCTGAACTTTTTAATTCTGATGGTAGAGCATGGACTGCAGGTACGCTCTTAGTAGTTTACACTTTATTTTATAAAGAATGGGGGGGGGGGGGTTACATGTTTTCTATGCTAGTGGTGGAGCTACTGTTTTAATTGCTTCTCCAATGCTTTCCCGAGCAGATTTGACTCATTCCAACTGTAGAAATGACTTTTTTCCTTTTACTCCCCTTTTTCCTGTATTGGTATGTAGTAGAAGAGAAGTTCAGAAATTGTGATGCTCGAGTCTTGGGACTTTAACTAATGGTAAAATGGCAGAGTCTGACAAGATTCATTTTTACCAGTGTCCCTAAAGACGGTAGGTGTTAAAAACCTTGATAAGTGCTAAAAGTTTTGGTCTTCTGGGTAATTGGGGACCAAGCTAACTCTTATATTTGAGCAGTCTTATTTATTCACTTGCCGGATAAAAGCTAGTTATCTTTCTCCTACACGTACTTTTAAAATTTATTAGTTGAGATTGCCTTCAACCTAGAGCCCCAACTTCTGTGCAGTCTGGCTCTACAGCAAGGACAGCCGCACAGCCTAGTTTCTCTTGAACAACTACCTTCTTACAGCTGGATTAGATTTCTTCGAACCAATGTAGCATCTGTTTGACTTTACATACTGCTTTAAAACAGTGTGTCTATAGGCCCACCTGCCTGCCTGCATCATTCTACGTATGATATAGGAAACTATGGTTTATTATGTAGCTGTATATACAACTACAACAAACTGAGCTTATCCCAAAGAGAGAAAATAAAAGCTGAGATTAGATGAAGCAAACTATCAAGGACCATTATCATCCAAAATATTTCAAGTAATTCACTGAGGGCCTTGTGTTTCGAATTAGCAGCAAATGTACTTAGCATTATACAGTTGTCATTATGCAAATATGTTCTTGCACTTTTCTTTGTAATGGCTCTTATTATGTTTCTAGTAGTTTCTTAGATAGCTCAGTTAGAAATCTTATCTATGCTTGATTGGTATTATTTGAATTTCTCCGTTTTTTCCTCTACCCAATCTGCTGTCCCAGGTTAGCCTCCATATTTATTTAGGTAGTTGCCTAATGTGGCAATCTTAGGATCTGTGAGCCCTTTATTTGCTGTTTATAGATAAGCCTCTTTAGTCTTGTATTTATTTTGGTTTTCCTTGAGCTTGAAAGCAAGTAGGGTTCTGTTATAACCCAGTTGTAATGGTAGGATGGCAAGGCTTGGAGTAGTGAATAGTGATTCCAAGTAAAAGCATTCTTTTCTAGATTATTATTTTCTCAAGTAGTTTGCAGGTTTTGCCCTTTGAGGCTAAATGACCTTTAGATTTGGGAGTTTGTGGCGAATACATTTCTTTGGTAGTGCTTGTAACTCATGATATAGGAACTCATTCTGGAGTTGCAGTGAAGGGTCTCTTTTGGTTCCATTTGTTGCAGTGTTAGAGGCAGACCTACCTACCAACCGGCTGGCGTCCCTCACCACCACAAGAAAAGCGCCCACTTCTAGAGATAGAAAGAGTTATATAGAGATGGCCAATTTCATTTTTTACTGCTATTGTCCTCGGAAATGCAACTAGGTAATGACCAAATAGTGCGCGAAACACAACAGTATAGTCGAACAATATGTGCCTGCACGATACTTAGAAAAAAAGTAATGTGCCTGCCATGATGGAAACATGCATTCCTTATATAGGTTCTTTAAGGAAAAGTAGTTTAAAATCCATCCTCAAACTTCTTTAGCTAAAGGGTAGTGAGAAGAATGATTACAAGATATATGTTTTTATAAGCCTCTACTGTTTGATCAGTAGAATTAGAACTTAGTTTACTCTTGATAACTGGTGGCCTAATTAGAGCATATATTGGCCTTCTAGTGTGGTTGAAGGAGTTCAAGAAATGTGACGGTTCTTTGTTCTTTTGGTTACATATGTTAACGATTTATTATCTGTTTGCTAAAGGTGGATCATATGGGATGAAATATGGCAGACATGATGCAACTTTTCCTGCTCCTCATGGCGAGGGATATGGGGTTCATATGGTATGAATATTTCCAGTCACATGATTGGGAATTTTATTTTAGTGGTCATAGCAAACAGCATAGGTAGTGTCGACTTGGTGGATTGACATTCATCCGTTATTCTCAGGGTGCTGCGGACAAGGGTCCTTTGTACGGTGCTGCTTCAGCTTCATGGGGAGGACTTGAGAAACCTCAGATGAATCGTCGTTGAGGTGTTCTCTCCTGTTCGCTTGCTATCCAGTAGGAAGAAGGGCCTCTGTTTTATTCTTCTGTTTGTGCTTATAATTTTCTAGTCTCTGATGCGGATGTTATCATATTCGGGTACTAAAGTACTGTGTGCTGCTTGTTATCTTGAACTGTATAGGGTAATTAAGGCTCTCCCATAGCTGATGGAGATGGATATTTTTAATTAATGTCTAATGTTATAACTTTATAGTTTAAAAGTAGCAACATGCCAGTTCTTTGTGTACATATTCCTTGTCCATTTTGCTCTTTGTGAGCATTTGATTCTCTTAATAATTCTGGTGAAACTTTTAAGATTGTATTATCACTTGAGAAAGCATTTTGCAAGGGACTAGCTGATGAATTTGGGAGTATGGTTGACCACGTTGTTATCATAATAGATGGTGTACTGTATGAGAATATGAAGTTGCCAATGTTTTGGCTTACTAGAAAAAAGTATTTTGGGATTTGAAGCTTAACCGTGAGGTAGCTGCTTTGAGGACATTACAAACCCGTGTTCTCTTGATTGTATTAGTTGGACCTCCCTTTGAGATATATATTCAGTACTTAATTCTGGCAGAAGAAATTGATGCAGTGCAATAACCCTCATCACAATAGGAACCACTATTATGGTAGACTTCCCTGAAGAATTTTTGCACTGTGTTTCTATTCCCTGGGTGTATTATTCAAGTAAGTATATAGGATATTGGCCAGGATAACTGTAGTAAAGAGTGGAAAATGAATGATGATGTAGAGTGGAAATGAATGATAGTGAAGAGTAGATATGAATGATGTCCACCAGTACTTATGGGAGAATGCTGTATGGGCATTATATTTATGAATGCTTTTGTTGAGCGGATTTTCTAGTTTAGTTGTTTATGAAGAAAATCAGCAGCATTGAGTATGCCTATATTGCACTTGATGAATGACAGTCTGCTCTGCAGTGGCATGCTGTAAACATAGTGATGAGCTGAAAAGTCTGTAACTATCCTATCCCTATTTTAATCGAGTACAAACATGAAGTTGGTGGTTAATGATGAACTCAAATCATTATGGGGTACTGGAGAGAAAGGATTGTGCCTTAGGAAATAAGAAGTATAGTGTCACTCAGTGAAACACTCTGCGTTGGTCCAGCAAGTTATCAGTTCCGTTGGAGGCAGCTACTACAGTCCAAAATAGATTGGCATAATCTTGTAGATTCTTTGGAATGAGACCATGGTTACAAGATGGGGAGACAAAAGGCAGAGCGGTGAAGCTGGGATTGTCTGGAGTTTAGAGCTTGAAATACCTCCCTGATCTGATTTTACTCATTCAAATTCGAAAATGCAGCAAATTTTGGGTACTCCTTCTTGAACCGTTCACTTAACATGTAGCTGTTCTATACTGTTCAAGAGGTCAGTCATCCTGGCTGCAGCAATTGGAATACGAGTTGCTTATGTACGTTCAGATCTGGAGTGAAGACCGTGGAAGCTACATTGGCAATCGATGACTGCCAAACAAAAGGCCATAGGCAAGTATTCTGTTTCGATGGCCCCTGAATTATACAATATTTCTACAAGAGATTTTACTTGGATGTGCTTCTATATCTTCTTTCTGTCTCTTTGCGTTTCTGTTCAGGAATGTTTAGATGTAGATCGCTCCCTCTCTTTCTACTTTATGCTTGTAAAATGCCTTCTTTTTGGGGGACTAATTCTTGCGGACACCGGCTTAATATTTAGGTTCAGTTTTCCCTATAGTCTAGGATTTGATGTCAATTTCACTAACATATAGATCCTGGGATTCTCTGAACTACTACTACTACTATTATATTATTATTAATTATTATCATCATTCTTTTTATATCGACTTTCTTTTCCATTTTTTACCTGTTATATGTTGATATTGTGGTGTGTGGGTTTAGTTCTTCATAGAGAGACTTATTTTATCAGGGAAGTCAAACAAAGAAGGAATCTTTGCTTCCATTTACTTGATGTTGAATGCATTGTTGGGAGGAGTTTTCTTTGAGGTTCTGTTTTGCAGTCGTTTTTTTATTAAAATAATGGTGGTGTTTGGGCCCAGCTTGCATGCTTCTTGACTATTTCACCATACCTGCTAGCATTGGCAGAGGTGTTAGGTAACTATGCCTACCAAAGTGTAGCCAGATGAGAAGAAATCACCTAGTATTTTGTCTAACCCTGATCTCCAAGGTTTGCACCTTTTTCATTGGCCACTAGGAGACACTCTTGGGTGCTCATTCCTGTCGTTTGTTAGCAGTGTTTGGGTTACAAATGGGAAACCAATGTTAGTTTATAGTATGGTTTTTCACTTTGCAGTTCAGACGTAAAAGGAGATACAAATTGAATTTTTGGGTTGAAGAAGCAAGTAGGTTACTACCTTGCTGACAGTGTGTGCACCTTATTAATGGATAATGCAGTGTCGTTCTACGTGGGTTTCATGTTGCATTCTTTACTTAGTAGTTGAAGCATATCTCATCTCTATGAGATGGGGTCAATGGTCTGCAGTTCAACTACAGCTATTTTCAGCACAGCAATCTTGTATTTAGGTGGACTGCTAAATTATTTACTACTTGGTTTTGTGTGCTTGGGTGGGTGACCTTTACCTATTAGTTAGTTAGTGGCAGTTATTTAAAGGGAATCACTCTGTAATTTGAAGAAGGTCAGTAAATTTGATAAGATGCTGAGATTTCATTGTTCAATCACTGAGGGCGGTTGGATTTTAGTTCCGGAGTAAAGCTGTAGGAAAATTAAGATCAAGGAAGAAGCTTTTGGCATTTGAGATAAATGAACCAGGTGCTGGAGGTGCTAGAATATCTTGGGTTTGCCATGGAGCAAGGAGTACATTTTTTTTCTGGTCAGCAACTGCTCAAGAATGGACACTCTATTGTCCCACTTGGATTGCTCATTGATTCCGTTTTTCTTTTCAATTCTTATGAACTATAATTACTCCACAAAGCTTATAGGTCCCATAGACTTACCCTAAAGAAAAATTAATAGGAAGAAGGAATCAACATACTATGTGGTTCTATCACGTGACTGGTAAATTTACTCATTTTCATGTTCTTTTATGTCATGGTATGCAGTTTTAGAACTCAGAATGCTGCTTGAATTTGCACAATTGTCTCCTTGAGAGTCTTGTTTATCAAAAGCATTTATGCTAAAGTTATTTTCTTCTTTTCTTTTTCCTTGCAAATAGTGCTCACATCATAGTTTGTTCTTTTCTTTTTGCAGATGAGAAAGCTGGGCAGCTTGGTTCAATGATCTGCTTTTTCCTTATCTTGTTGCCTTTATGCTATTGGAGGTTTTTTGGGGTACAAAGCTGGACTATGACCTCTGGGCCGTGGGAGAGCTGGACACAGTATAGTTGGATGTTTTCTGACTTAGTCGGTCAGTTTGCTTGGCTCCTAATTTGGGGATCCTTGACTGGGCTGTCGGATAATGGTAAGAGGTATCTAGGGGAACTCATGACGATCTGTTCCAAGTCAATTTGAATTGGGATATTTCTGAATGATATTGAATGGGAAGTTTGAAAGGAATCCAATTCATATCCACTTTGGGCACAAATTCAAGGGTGTTATAATGGGAGGAGCTTGACCGTGAATCAGCCCACACACGTGTGATCCAGGAAGTTGACTTCCGACATTCACCATTGGGGTACGGGGAGGGGGACATATTTCTGCCCATGCCTGTTTCAACTTCCCTATCACCCATGTGCATATTTTTCAAGTTCCATATCACCCATGGCTTGATTCCGTTCAATCATCAAGAAAGTCAACAACCTGTACGTCGGATAACAACGTTCAAATGGACAGAAGTTGCCGTGCTGTTATTTAGCAAGATGGGAACCCGGTTTTAACATCTTATGCTCCCAGAGGTTTTATCTATGAGCAGCAGCATAAAGCAACACACGCAAAAGTGGGATTCACAAAAAAAAAAAAAAAAAAAAGAGAGAGAGAGAGAGAGACCCAAAAAGCAGGTTGATCGATTTGACGATAGTCAGTACACTCTTTTTAGTCTTCAAGTGTGTTTTCTAAGAGATAGGACGGGATAGCAAAATCACAGAATACTAAGGCTAATATGGTTGGCCTTTTACAGTAAGCATCTGGACTGGATGGGCTAGTGCTTGAAACGCAAAAAAAAGACCTACATGGGACGTACTTGATATGGAAATATGGGGTTAGTATGTAAGGGTCAACATCCTAAAGCCCTGATTGAATTAACATGCATTATACAGAGTTTAAACACGATTATCTGTGCATGCTCGCAGCGACTAGTTTCCACGTATTTTTGTTGTCTTCTACTTGTCTTCTACTTGATTGCTTGTTGCCTTATCATCATTATTTTGCCATTCTAATATTAGAGAAAGCTTATACGAACTTTTTGATGAAGTTCGTCATAAGAGTGTCATTCCCTCTGTCAAGTCATAACAGCACAAAATCAAAGCTAGACCTAGAAGATTGGTAGAATATTGTGTTCAAGGCAAACAAAAGAAGTCGCATCTTTGTTATAGCTAGGAGAGACCGACTTATTCTCTACCTCTTATTAATGGTTAAAGCACAATAGTTCATTCTATGGCCAAATCAAGTATTTAAAAGTTACTTTGAAATATTGTCAGTTATCTTTTCAATTGTAAGTATAGCCAGTAAAGTCAGTCTCTTTCGAGCACTTCTTGGGGATGGATCAAGCACTTAACACATCGCTCCTCTCCGTTGATACCCAAGTGCATCCCAAAAATGAAAATTGAACAAATAGGCTATAAAACAAAACTTCCACTGTTCCGATGTAATTTGAGTTCTTTGCATATTTTGCCACCAAATCATGCGCCTTTGTGTTGTTTATGCAACATTCTTTTGATGCTCAACGAAAGGAAGAATACTCATCTTTTGGGACAATAACAAGTATTTACTGTGAAGTCTAAAGTTCACATCTCGATGGAAGCAAAAAAACATAAGATGATTTTTTCCTTTTGTTTAAGCCTTAATACGAGCATCCCGGTACTTGGTGGGAGATAGTAAGATGATCCGAACACTAGTAACATATATTAATAGAACAATTGAGTTGCGCATAAACTAGTTCAAACAACATTATGATAAAGGAATAAAGTACTTTTGTATATAATCTTGTAGTCAAAGTATTTGTTTCCAAACGTTAATGACACTTCTATTGGACTCTCTCCTCCTAAGCAATAACAAAAATAGATTAAAAATGAAACCAAGTATATATTTTCATATTTTTACACAAATAACCGATCATATATTTATTATTTACTTTTCTAATCATATATATAAATTATACTACATTAATTATGTATTTATAGTAATACATAAATTATGCGCATATTTAATTTTAATTTAACAAGTGGCTGCCCTTCCTGCAATCGGGTTGGTCGAGAGCCCATACCCGTGACCGTGAGCAAAAGCACTTGGGCAAATTAGTGGCGATTGTTGGGTCAACAAGCTCCCTGGGATGAAAGCAACAAGGATAAGGACGGTAGCATAAATCCAAATTTCAACTAGTGTTCCTATATCCACAACATTCACTATTGCTGCTTATGCCTCATCATCTTCTTGTCGATTCAAAGAGTTTGGAGCTTTGGATTTAGGCTGCTGTCTCCTTCAATTCCAGTTCTAATTCTGTATTTGTTATTTCCTTTGTGATGTAAATAAAAAGAGACGGAGTATGCAAGGGTACTCTGTGTTTTCACTTAAACTTTGTCCCTTTTCCCCCTTTTCTCTTCCTTCAAATTCACTGCCCTTTATATTGAACTCATGGAAAACAAGGGTTCACTCTTCCCATACTGTAAATCCTTCTGATTATGCCCCCAACAAACGTTTCCTTCTTTTCAAGGTAATTTCTGGATGTCCTACTTTCATATATTTGTTTCTCGGTAATTTATGTGACGAATGACAAAATTTCAACAAATATTAGATTTAGAACCTGTGATGTTACAAGTTCAGTGTTAAGAATTTTGAAGATTGAAGCCATCAAGTTAAAATTTTGGATCCGCCTATGCCCACAGTTAATTAACTTCGAATTACCTAGATTATTGAAACAACGATGCTACACACTTAATTATATACAGATAAACTTTAGCTTACAATTATTGTCTGCATTTGTCAATGGCTCTCAAAATTCTTAGAAAAGCTAAGATATGTAAGTAGAAGGGAAACACAAGAATTTGATGGCGCACACACTTCAATTGTTAATTCGTTTAAAGAGATACAAAGTTTTGAACTTTACTAAAGACTGGGTTTTCAATTTTAATTCATCTCAATTTAGACCAGGTCTCTAGGGTCCATCTGTTCCCTTAACAGCCATTTTTCCTTATATGAACAATTGCTGGTTTTAACTTACAATGTCAAGTAACAGTGTTCTTTTTCTGGACATCAGGTACGTGCAACTGCGGGTGAAACTGATCAACCAAAATGGTGGGAAAAGAATGCCTCAAATATGGTTGACATCCATTCAACTCAACAATTTTTAGATGCTTTAAGTCAAGCTGGAGATAGATTAGTCATTGTTGACTTTTATGGCACATGGTGTGCTTCTTGTCGCGCATTGTTCCCCAAGGTGAGTATTTCAGATTTCCCTGAGTAATGAACCATTTGCTTTTTTACACAAACAGAAATTCAGTTAGATTGAATTTCATGTAAAAGAGGCGTTACACTTCATTGAGATTCTCAAATCTTATAGTTCCATCCAATTTGGAGGCCTTTTTAATCCCTAGGAGTTTTTCTTTTAAATTTATGTTATGTGCACAAGTACCTTATATTTCCTGTGCTGTTTTGTATTTTTTGGAATGGAATAAAATAAGTAGGAGAATAATCCCAAATTATTGAGACCAATGTAGAAAACGTTAGATCTTTTTCTGTTTCAGACGTATTTTCAGTGTTATAAGAGAATACCATGTTGTATAGATGTTAACAGTGGCTAAGCCAGAAAATTCTCAAAGGATGTTCAGACTTGAAAGAAGTAAAAAAAATTCCTATCGAAGGGTGTTCAATATATGCTATGTACATTTAAAATCTAATATTTTACTTATATACATAGTGTAATTTTTTTTAATATTTTGCCGAAGGGTGATTGACCATCCTTAGCAAAAGGTGGCTTCGCCCCTGGAAGTTGAACAAACTTGATATATGACTCATATATACGTTTATTAAAACTGGATTGTTTTTTGCTTTTCAATGGCCAGGTCTGCATGATTGCTGAAAAACACCCAGAAATCCTTTTCCTTAAGGTGAACTTTGATGAGAACAAGTCCTTGTGCAAAAGCTTAAATGTAAAAGTCCTCCCATATTTCCACTTCTATAGAGGAGTTGATGGTCTGTTGGATTCCTTTTCTTGCTCTCTCGCAAAGGTAGGAACATCAAGTGCATATCGGTGTGATTTTATTTTTATTTTCCATCAGTGTCTAATTGCATTAAGATACTTCTTACACTCCATTCTCTCCTGTAGCCTCAAAGAAAAAGAGAGTAAGTGACTAAAGGGATATAACTTGGACACCATGATTGACTTCCTTAGTTCTTTACACATGCTGTAATGTTCTTACTCTTTTGGATGTACATTTCACCGGCATTACCTTTTTGTTGGTTTACATCAATAAATACTTACATTACCTATCAAAAAAATTTGAAAATAAGATCTTGGTATAAGGCAGGGGAAAAGAATGTACCAAAAGGACACAATAATTATTCATCCGGTTACCATTTTGAGCTACCTTTTATTCATCAACTAAGGAATCATGCTCAGTTGAGATGGTAACATGGTGGAAAACAAGTGAACGTTTTTGTTTTCTGAAGCATTGAAAAGAAATTGTTGATATGTCTTTCTATGTAAACCCAGAGAAAGAACTACTGAAAACACCAATATATCTTTTGGTCATTTGAAGGTCTACTAATATTTAAATCTTTTATGGACCCACAATTATGATATTGGTTGGATAACTATTCTTGACAAAAAGCAAACCCTTCCGCATCTCTCCATAAGCAACTCCTTCCAGTATCTTCCCATCTAACTTTAGGCCCTTTAGCACCAAGGCTATTAAGATTTGTAGATTTTGGGTATTCAATGATAATGGTTGTGTTTCCTGTTCGGTATACTTGGGAATAGTTTGTTTCTGATGAACCTACACATGAATGTGCTGACTTGACACTGCCCAATTGTTTATTTCATCGCTGTAGTCAAAACTCCATTACATGAGTATCTCTGGTTAATGAAATTTCTTTATCAATAATATGTTTTCCTAAACTTTTTTTGCTTATTTCTGGTAAGAAGATTTCCATGACATTGTAAGTATATCCTCTTCTACTACTCATGTTTTCACCTTTCAATCAGTTTTCCTTTGAGAAAAACTTACTCTTGGAAAATATCTTGCAGCTCCAGAAATTAAAGGATGCCATTGCAAATTATAACCCAACTCATGCAAAAGAGAGTTCACTGAAAGGAACTGATGATGGGAAGTCTGTACTTCCTTGAAATTTCGGCATCAGGGCAGTTCAAGTCAACTACAAGGTAGAAATGAACAAATTTGCTTGTACAATATTTTATTCTAGAACCTTGCTGCAGACTCACATTGGCTGTGTCACAGCTTTCCTTCTACAATATGCTAGAAAGATGTGCATAGTCCTTTGTTCAAAGCATTCATTTGTTGCCATTGCTGTAATATATTTTATGTGACGATATGGTAAAAAAGGTTTTTACATAATTGCTATGACGGTTAATATTTGCTAGAAAAAATGAAGTGTTTAACCAAATATAATAGGAAAATCGATAGCTAGATCAGACTAAAGCTGTGATCATTTTCGTCGAGGTGGTTGAGATCAATATCAATGGACATGGATTAACAAATGTCAAACAAATGTGTTTTACAAGAAAGAATTAAGAGCGTTTCTGAATTTTATTCATTTTGAAATCCATGGAAATGGCAAGAACCTTTGAGATGATTGCATTCACGATGTGCTTTTGACTACTCGCAACTACTAATGCTGGAAGGTATTTGGGTCTTGTAACTATCTTTGGCACACATGTACAAGAAAAAAAAATCAGGATCCAGGTTTCAAGAGATAAATGAATGTAAGTGTATAACAAATGGATAGGAACCTGGATAGTTTCAAATGAAGTGAAAAGAAAATGAGTTCAAGACTATTGCTATTGTTTTTCTTTTCTTTTATTGCATTGCTAATGTCTGTAGTCACAAGAAACTGATGTTTCTTCTCTTTGTAGTTTTACAATCAACTTAAACTTATAAAGAAACCTGCTACCACTATTCAGCATGTACAAATCATTGGACAAAGGGTTCCAAGCTTCCAACTCATGTGGTTTTCCAGCTATGTAGTAATTGTAGGTGCTAAAACTTTTGATCTCTTCCCTTTTATTAGTGCTTCTGTATCTGGAAAATGACCATTTCTCTCCATTAGATCCTCTACATGACCTTCTGCAGTTACATTCACAGGGTAGGTGACCAAATGAACACCCTTCATATCTTCTACTTCATCTTGATCGTAAATCTTCCACATTTGGTCTCCGATAGAACAGATTTTCTGCACGCATTCTAAGCTTTGAGGCTCTTGGAATGCTTGTTCTGCTTGTGCAGTATGTTCATACCACAATGACATGCGATATGTATGAATGTCTCTTTGATCAATGTCACTTTCTTCACTTTTCGACTGATAGCATCCTATTGCAATCTCTGTGTCTCGTTGCCCATCCATGGATCTTTGGTTTATGTTGGCAGAACCAATTAATAAGTATGTGTCATCCACTGATAATTTAGAGAAAGAGTTGTAAACATTTCAGCTTTATTAGTCTAAACGATAAGCAACACGAGTAGAGGAGAGTTAACTTCACGCATAGTCACTGAACTTTACTCACTAAAATAACAAACTTTGTAACAATAAAGTCACCTTGATCTTTGATGGATATGGTTTTTCATTATACTTGGTAAAATTCAGTTACTTTAATGTGACAAAGTAACTTTGCGATTTTACTATTATAGCAGGTAAGTTTAATGACTTTAATATTATAGTGAGTAAAGTTAAGTTGTTTTAATATGACAAAAAATAGTTCTGTGACTTTACTGCTATAGTAGATAAAGTTCAGTGACCATAAGCCAGGTGTGAAATTAACTTGAGTGGAAGAAGACTTTCATACCTATCATGAGCTTAGAGTGGACATAAACCATGAATCTTCTTTTCTTTTGAGCTTTCCAATATTGTGATTCAGGATGTGGAGAATAAGGAGGAACAAACTCTCCCTTGAACTCTTCTTCTCTGTTTGCAAGGCAGAAGATATTCAAGTAATCTCTAGGATGTCCTGGCTCACCACTTTCTTTAATTGCTTCACCTATAAATTTATACATCATTTTCATTGTTTCTCTAGTCCAATGCAATATATCTTGAACTGAATCACTTTCTGGCAATCCTTCAGGCCACATTGGTATCACAATGTACACAGCAAATCGCTCTTTAGCTTTGATTTTGTTTGCAACTTTTAGTGCAATCTCTATTGGAATTAAATTTCTACAGCCACAGTGTTGATCTTGCTCCCAAAGGTGACATCCACCGATGAAATACTGATTTTCTATGTAAATAAATTTATCAGCCCGCCTTATTGCTTCAACATAAGCTTCATGAATGCTTCTTTCAATTGGCATGTTCATAGGCAAAGGGCATGCTGAGACATGATCAATTGAACGAAAGACTTGAACGTTCCAATCGCGATCAGTAGAAGCCATGTTTGGCTGATTGTTTAGTTCTGGAATGGATCTTATAGGAATGAGCAAAGAAGGGCCAATTTGCTTATTCCATCTTTGTTCAAAATTGTTGAGTATATCCATAGCTGCTTGTCCTGTTACACGAGCGTGAGCATCGTGCCATGGTTCTCTCGGCCCTCCTTTGTGTAGACTTGCACCAGATAGACTCGTTTGGTAGAAATCGTAACAATGTGATTCTGTGTTGAGAGTTTTAAACAAGGAGTGTTCTTCTGTATCGTATCGACCATCACAAAGGTCTAAACCACCGATAAAGCTAGTGATTTCTCGACTAGTTGAAGATAGATGACTTCTTGAATCTACTGTTATTGCTTTCTGATGATGTGCAAAGAATGAGGGGAGTTTATGGTGTAATCTGGGAACTAATTTGCATACTACTTTTGTGTCTCTGAAATAAGCTAAAGAATCTTCGTCATGTGTTCTCATTACTCCTTTGTTCTTGATGATTGGTAAGGATGTTTCGTCGTCCCAAAGCATGATCCTCACAGCCACACCTTCTTCTGCTTTGCGCTTAAGCAATTCGCCTAGCTTTACTCCTTTTGCATGCATAATTTCTGTACTAGGATCACGGACCTGAAAAAAGAAGTCGTCAGTTTCCAAAGTGTATGCATAAAAGATTGCAACAAAAATGAAATGAACGTAATTAAGTAAACAAAGATATATTCTTTATAACAAGTTAGACTTTTAGATGAGATGATCACACCATTCAACATGATATTAGAGCCGGTAGAGGCCTTAGATTCGTGTCTCACTTCCACGGATTATCAAAACTAATTTTCATGTGTTTGCTTCATGAAAAAGAACCAGACACGTACTTGAAGGGTGTTGAAGACATAATTAAGTAAATATAGTATGTTATCTCTAACAACTTAAGCTTGTAAATCACATGATCGCATAGTTCGGCAGTGTAAGGGACAAAACCGTGCAACAAAAATAGAAGTAACGGTAGTTTTTTGCCCTTACCAGGACCAAATTAGGATTGAAAGACCACCCTGCAATAATAGTTTATACTTTTAGATGAGATGGTCAAACAATTCAACATGGTCAGAGCCGGCAGAGGCTCTAAGTTCGAGCCTTGCTTCTACCCATTATCTTAAAATAAAATCATGTGCTTGATCCATGGAAAAGAATCAGCCCCACGTAAAGGACGCGTTGAAGACATAATTAAGTAAATAAAGTGTGATATTGGTAACAACTTAAGCTTTTAGATCAGATGATCACACAATTCAGCAACGTACGCGTAAAACTGTGCAAAAAAATAAATAGAAATAATGGTAGTTTTTTCCACTTACCAGGGCCAAATTAGGATTGAAAGACCAGCCTGCAATATAAACCAAATGCTTTGCACCCTCAATGGCTCTGTATATATCCTCCCACAAGTTTTTGGGTCTCTTGGAATGTTGAAATGGTGGTTGAAATGTATGTTGGTGATGTGTATCTTGATAAAGAGTTACACTACAGTTTGCTCTTTGAGGAAAAGTGGAATTTTTGAATCCTGTGAATGTACCATTCTCTAGTATTCTTCCCCAACTTGGTTCATATTCTGCTGGTTTGAACCACAAAATGAATTGCAATTTCAGTTTCTTCTTTGACTTCTTGTTTTCAGTTGAAAGTGGGAAGAATCCCTCAACTAAACTTGCTTCATTTAAGAGCTTATGAGAATGAATAGTGAATTTTCCTAAGGTGGTGCACTTTGTCTTTAGAGTAATGGTAATAGTTGTATTTGGAGAATGAGCACAGAGGATTTGAAAGGTTTGGTTCCATACACGATCACGTTCTTGTGTTGTTTTTGCTACTGTCTTGTTATCAATCTTGATTGTCACATATGCAGGTTTTCCATTTGCTGAAATACACTGCAAAAAAACCAAAAGAGGATTTTTAGGCCTTAAAAACTGATTGTTATTGTAGCCCAAAGGGCTTTGATCGAATGGTAAGAGCGTAGTGCGTGATGCAGGATTAGGCGCACCAAAGGCGCATGCAGCATTTTGTTGTCGGGGTTCATCTGAACCCAGTATTTTCATCGCAAAATTTAAATTTATGTTTAAAGATTCACTAAAATTATAACGAATAATCAATTTGAACCCAGAACTTTAAAAACACTATGGGTTCAATCAGAGGCGGATTCAGGATTTTAAGATGATGGTTACACTATTTTGAAGAGGTAGATCTAGAATATATATTTGACCGGTTTAACTTTAGTCTCTTTACCATGACCCACTACACTTTTAAAATTAAAGGTTCAAAGTAATGTTCTTTTTGAAATTTTAGTAATTTTCACACACGCACACACACGCACATATATATATATATATATATATATATATATATATATATATATATATATATATATATATATATATATACACACACACACACACACACACACACACACCGTGTTGAAAACAAGACTGCTCAGAGTGCGATTTGAACTGTCAATTTTGAAGAAATTTAACATTGTTATACATGATTTAGGGAGAGGAGTATGGTTTCATGTGAACCCATATCTCTCAACTTGGATATGCCGCTGGGTTCAATACTAATAACCTTAAAAGTTGAACCCATGGAGCTTAAATTTTGGATCCGCTTATGAGGCGCACATCAGCGTTCGAACCATATCACATATAAAAGCCTAATATTTAAGTGAATAAGGATACAAGGACGAGCTCTATATCCACTAGGTTTCGTAGTGTACACTAAATGGCTCTCGGGAATTTCTCGGTTATTAAAAAAGATTGTTATTGCAACAAAAAATCTGTGTTTGTAATGAATCACTTACCTTGAAGGGAATAGATGACTTGTGAGATGTAGCCCGGAAAATAGAGACTTCAAGTGTTCCATGAAAAAACTTGTATTTGCTCTCCATTTTTGCAATTCTTTGATGATATTTTGTTGATTATATTTTGAGAGGGAAAGATCAGAAAACATACAGAATTTTCTTTGGTTTGTGAAAGGGCACACACATTAGTATGCTGATATATAAAGTTAGGTAAGTTTGTTATTTTAATCCAAAGACAGCTAGCTATGTATGTATTGTAAATGAGGATATGTGTGGAAACTTGGAATGCAAAATGAGCAGTTGGAAGTGGACAAAACTTAAAAACATGTTCATTTTAAGCCTTAAAGGCAACCTTCAATTTCACTGCTTGTTTCTGCTTTAAGCTCAAGTTTTCCCTATACCACATTTGCTAGTTTTGGTGTTATGTGGCACTAGCTTAGGTTGCACAAAGTAAAATATTGGAAAATTTTATTGAATTGTGTGACCGTTTCATATGAAAACTTAAACTCTTAATCGGAACATGCTTTTATTATTTACTCGTTAATTATATCTTCAATATGTCGAGCATTAGGGCTGTAGCTTAGGAGGTAGTTGAGTAATGTCTGTTTCGTATCGGGGTGTGAGGCTAACCTGACAGAGTTTGTATTAGATTGTTAGTGGTTAATGTTGTGTTCATACTATTCCTTAGTTTTCCATAGTATAGGGCGTTATTTACTTGTTATTGTTATTGCTTTCCATCTATTTTCGAGTTCTTATGTCGCTGTTTTCTATGTTTTCTATTGATGGTACTGATGTATTTGTTCTTTTCGTCTTCTTGAGCCGAGGGTCTTTCGGAAATAACCTCTCTACTCCCTCGGAGATAGGGGTAAGGTTTGCGTACTCACTACCCTCTCCAGACCCCACTTGTGAGATTTCACTGGGTTGTTATTGTTATTGTTGTCGTAATTATATCTTCAATACGCTCCCTCACGTGAAGACTTAGTCTTTTTGGTAATAGGTGGCATTGATACTTGAACTCAAAAACTCTATTTGCTCCATACTATAATAAGTTGGTGACCATCTCATTTATAAGCATAAAATATTAAAGAGGGTAGAATTAATTATATCTTCAATAAACTTGGATAAATGTAGTTAGAGAAAATGGTAAGTATTATGGTTGAAGCATACCACCTTGTCTCAACAGAATGGCATATATTTAGTAGACGAATTCTTTCTTTCTTTTCGTTAATTATTTTTCTAATTTCATTGAATGATATACTAAATCTTTGCGGGTCTAATGTTTGGCACGTTGGATTAATGCACTCCATATTGTCTATTTTGCTACATATTCTTAGTTTAAGGGTATCTATCATTCTGTTTTACAGGATCTAAACGAATTATTAGTATTCCTCCATTTCTAGAAAAAGAGGAAAAAGAAGTTAGGTGCTGCTAAATGTCATAATAATTAAGTAATTAACTGGAGTCTGATCCCTTAACACCAACGGATCTTTGCCCAACTTTCTTTATTCTATTGTTGGAAACTTGGAGGCAACCAAAGTACCAAACTCCTGAATCTAGAGAATTTTTTTTCCAACTCAGACACATATTTTACAGAAAAAATAGTAGTGCTAATAATTAAAATCTGTAACTACCAATGATTTTGGTATTAATTCTATCGAAGAGTTCATCTAAACGAGATAAAATAATCTTGAACTTTATGTCGAGATTATCTTTCTAATCCTCATAAAAACGACCCTTAGGCAACATTAAAATCAATCAGCAGCCTCCTCAGCATGGGCGGATTCACCTTGCGAACTATGGGTTCACGTGAACCCAGTAGCTTTTGTCCAAACAGTGTAATTGTGTTCGAAAATTTTACTAAATAGCTATAAATATTTGAATGTAAACTCAATTACTATTAAAAGTTTACCCAAGGTTATTACAGAAACCCATAAATATTAAATCTTGGATCCGTTTCCACACTTCTATGAATTAATGTTATATGCACGAATGAAGTAAAATCTTGTACGCAATCGAGGCTATAAACATAAACAATGGTTGCGTATTCTTCTTCCAAACCTCTAAGTTCTAACCTATGGAAAGTTCCTAGAATAGATACTCCATCAAATACGGGACTAATACGTGGGCTTAGTCTTGCTTTTGCCAATTGTAGCTTAAAAGTATTAGAGATGTTACAAATAGAATTGTAACTAGAGTGAATATCTATCTTTTAGAGAGTTTTACTTTGTGGCTAAGTCATTTATAGGGGTCTTACTCCATTGTAAATCATCCCAAAATTCAATAAGAATTACTTTCTCTTTTTCAGCAATGTTGTTCTTCTACTTTTATTGTTTTATTACACGTTATCAGCACGACACTCTATCGTCTCAAGAAGCTCTTTGAGAAGACTAAGATATAACTTTTCTCCTCTTTTAATTATGACTGATATTATGAAAAGAAAGTTCGTTGCCCTTGAAATTTCGGGCAAGAACTATATGACATGGGTGTTGGATGCTGAAATCCATTTAGATGGAATGGGTCTTCGAGACGCCATTAAAGACAAAACTAAAGCATCCACCCAAGACTGTGCTAAGGCCTTGATTTTCTTGCGCCATCACCTTGATGAAGGGTTGAAAATAGAATATCTCACAGTCAAAGATCCACTTGTTTTGTGGAATGGCTTAAAGGAAAGATATGACAACTTAAAGTTGGTCACTCTTCCACAAACACGATATGATTGGGCTCATCTGATGCTCCAAGACTTTAAGTCTGTTTCTGAATATAATTCTGCGATGTTCAGAATTACTTCTAAATTGAAACTCTGTGGAGATACTATCACTAACTATGGTATGCTTGAAAAAATGTTTACAACGTTTCATGCCTCCAATATGGTCTTGCAACAGCAGTACAGAGAGAAAGGTTCAAGAAGTACTCTGAGTTGATTTCTCTTCTCCTTGTGGCTGAACGAAACAATGACTTGCTCATGAGAAATCACGAAAATCGACCCACTGGGTCTACACCATTGCCTGAAGTGGATGAGGTATATTCCCATTATGCTAAGTGTGGAAAAGGCCGTGGCCCTATTCGTGGTCGTGGCCGTAGACAAGGAAGAAATTTTCCTAGTGTTAATCACCCCCCAAAGAAAAATAACCACCAAAAGTGGAAAGGGAAAGATGAGAAGCTAAAGGCAAATGGTTCAGAAACTGAATGTTATCGTTGCGGTGGAAAAGGGCATTGGAAAAATATTTGTCGTACACCAAGATATTTGGTTGAGCTTTATCAAGCATCTCTAAAGAATAAAGGCCCTGAAGCTAATTTTGTCTATGACAATGAATTTGATATCACCCACTTAGATGTGGCAGACTTCTTTGAGTGCCCTGATGGAAAAATAGACCACTTGATCGGTGATGGATCTGTGGTTAAAGAAGATTGAGTAGTTTGATTTTATTTTATTTTTCTTATTCGTATTAGTTAGTGAATATACATCATGTATCGTAGTTTACATGAATAGTAGTTTTAATTAGTATGTCGAATTAGTATAATCTGCCATTGAATAAAGTTTGAGAATGGTGAAAATTTATAGTCAGTATCAGTTGTAATTTATGTTAGGAGTTGAGAATCGTGAGAAAAAAATTACTAAAAAAAAAGGACGAAAACTTGCAAACGAAAAAGTGTCTTACAAACTAGCGTGAAACTATTTGCTAAAGCTTTTAAATCAACTGACACTATACGAAATTTTTATTAAAATACAATATTTGTTTTCTAATTAAGTTGTTCAATCAAAGATTGTGTCATATGGAAAATTATCATCAAACTGATTGAATAAGTCATTATTGAGTTATTGACTTCACTTTGTCTCTTTTCCTTTATCTCTGAAAATACTAATATTTATTCGTATATTTCTTTTGTATGTCAAAACATGGGAAGCAAATATGGATATCTCATAAAACAAACTTGGATCAAAGTTCAATTGTAAAAATATTTGTTTAATTGATTCATGTGCGACACATACAATATTCAAAGAGAAGAAATATTTCTCTCATTTAAGTATGTGTAAGGCAGATGTTACTACAATTTCTGGTAGTAGTAATTTAATCGAAGGCTCTAGAAGAGCTGCTATAACTCTGCGCAAGGGAACAATACTTATCATAGATAATGCAATGTTCTCCTCCAAGTCCAAAAGGAACTTGTTGAGTTTTAAAGATATCCGCCGAAATGGATATCATATTGAGACAATAGATGAGAATAATCTTGAATATCTCTTCATTACCAAGAATGTCTCTGGCCAAAAGAGGGTTATTAAGAAGTTCCCATCTTTATCTTGTGGCATGTATTGGACAAGAATTAGTGCAATTGAGGCACATTCTATTGTAAACCAAAAGGTAACTGATTCCAATACTTTTATACTTTGGCATGATCGATTGGGACACCCTGATCAATTATGATGAGACGGATTATAGAAAACTCAAATGGGAATCAATTAAAGAATTTAAAGATTCTTTTAAATAATGAATTTTCTTGCACTTCTTGTTATCAAGGCAAGTTAATTATTAGACCATCACCAATAAAGGTCGGGATTGAGTCCCCTGCGTTTTTGGAACGTATACAAGGGGACATTTGGGGACCTATTCACCCACCTAGTGGGTCGTTTAAATATTTTATGGTCTTAATAGATGCATCTTCTAGATTGTCTCATGTGTGCCTATTGTCATCTCGCAACCTCGCGTTTGCAAAATTAATGGCACAAATAATTCGATTACGGGCGCAATTCCCCGATTATCCAATTAAGTCTATTAGACTTGATAATGCTGTTGAGTTTTCATCCCAAGCATTTAATTATTATTGCTTATCAATTGGGATAAAAGTGGAACATCCTGTAGCTCATGTTCACACTCAAAATGGCCTTGCAGAGTCTTTAATTAAACGTCTGCAATTTATAGCAAGACCGTTACTCATGAAAACGAGGTTGCCCACTTATATTTGGGGTCACGCCATTTTGCATGCAGCAATGCTAGTTCGTCTCAGACCGACAAATTATCATAAATATTTCCCCTTACAATTAGTTTTGGGTCATGAACCTAATATATCCCATTTAAGAATTTTTGGATGCGCAGTATATGTGCCTATAGCACTGCCATATCGCACCAAAATGGGCCCCCAAAGAAGGTTAGGAATATATGTAGGGTTTGAATCACCCTCCATTATTCGCTA